GCATTAACTGTCTCTGTCCAAGAGGGCCCCTTTCTAGGCCTTCTCCTCCCAGGGACACTCTGCTGCTGGCTCCATCCCGCTAACTGCCATCGTTATGTGACTCCCTGCATTTCATTCCATGGCCCGAGGACCCTGCCATACCAAGTGGACCAACCCTGAAGTCTTCCAGTTGGGGTCATGTTCCCACTGCTAGGCATGCCAGCATTACAAAGGGCGCCCTTTAGGGGTTAGTACCTGCCTAATCTGCTCCAGTCAGGACAGCCTGGGTTAGGCTGCAGTGAACAAACAGTCCTAAGATCACAGTGACTTCAGTGCACAAAGGTTGATTTGCAGCTCACTGTTGGTTGCCGCAGTGATGGATCCGCTAGGCCCGTCTCAAGCTATCCTCACTTAGAATGGATATGCAGAGCTGCCTAAGTAGACTGTCACCAACTGGGAGTCCCTTCGGCAGGGCCCAGGGCCCATGTGGTAAACGACATATGGGTGTTGGGCTTGTCCCAGAGTGACTATATCCCTGTGCCTCCCGTTCTGCTGGCCACACCCAGCTTCAGGAGGGTGGCGAGTCCACCCTGCATGTATTCAGAGGAAAATGAGAATTTGATGAGAAGCCCTACCAGTGCCTTTAGCACTAGGGCCTGGTGAGGGATGCTTCACTGGCCAGGTACTGCCCTCACCACCAGGCCCTGTCTGACCCACCAGACCCTCCCAAGAGCAACCAGGGGGCCTCTCCACATCCTTGGAGCAGATGCCTAAGCAGTGCACGGTGTGGAGTTAAGAACAAGTGACCGCCACCTTAGTCCTTACGAGATGAAATCTGCCCTTTGCTCACTCTGGGCTGTGGGGTGTCATGGTGTGGCTTGGGGAGCAGGCCCCTGCCTCTACCCCAGGGCTTACCCCTCACTCTCCTGTACCTCTCTGAGCCTAATGGACATTGGCCCGATGCCATGAAGCCCATCACCTGGGGGTCATGAGATGGGACCAGCTGAGACCAAAGTGACAGGGCCCTCCATTCGCTCAGCTGTGATCAGAAGCAGGACTTTCCCCCTGGTGTCCCCCTACTTCTTGATCCTGGTGCCAGCCTTCATGTCACATTCAGTGCAGAGATGGGCACGGAGGGGGGTGTTTCATAACCCTGCCTAAATATAGAGTGCGCGCGAAGTGCAATCTAGAAGCCAGGTAAACAGAATCACTGGGAATGTGTGCAAGGGGACCGGGCAGAGTGGACAGGAAAACACGCCTCCCTAAATGGGCTGGCAAATTGTGTTGCTGGGGGTGTTTTCCATTGCCAGCTGAGTTGTGACTCTTGGCAACCGTCTCCTAGCAACCGTGCATGCGGGGTACCATGCTCAGCCAGGATGGGCGGCTGGGACAGAGGCTGCTGGGGAGTGAGAACAAGGCGGCGGAAGTGGAGGGGGAGGCCCTGGAGTCCTGCATCTCTGCTGTCTGAGCAGGAGGGAGCCACTGAAATCCTAAGTCCCACCCTGACCTGATGGTTTCCATGGGGGTGAATTAGTAGAACCTCTTTTCCTGCATTACTCCCCCTCTATTATGCGTCTGTTATACCTGTTCGTGTCCTACTTTCCATTTTCAGACCGAGGTCTAAAGGTCCTGTCTAGCATTGCCTGGCTTTGCTGATAACAAGATAGACTGAGGCTGCTCCTGGCATGGACTTGTCAACTTCCAGAAAGTGTGGGGCTCAGGAAGTCAAGGGTTTCAGGGTGAAAGAGCAGGGGGCAGAGGCCCAGAACAACGTCCAAGTCAGAGCCCACCTCCCCCAGCTATTTAGAACCTGGGCAGGCTTCTTATGGTCTGGGCCTCAGTTTCCTGACCCGCAAAAACAGGTGGGAGAGCCAGGCGTGGTGGCACATGCCTATAATCCCAGCACATAGGAGGCCGAGGCAGGAGGATTGCTGCAGGTTTGAGACCAGCCTGGGCTACACAGTGAGTTCAAGGCCAGCCTGCACTACATAGTAAGACCCTGTCTCCAAAAAAAATCACCTGAGTGTGGGTGGTGTGGCTGTGCACTGTAATTGAAAGTTGTTCCCACCTTGTGCGGTCTCGCCTCTTTGGAGCATCCCCCACAGGCCACAAGGTGAGCAAGCAGATGAGGAGGCATTTGCAGAGCTGACCTTCGAATGTGGGACTGTCATCGTGTGGGGCCAGGTCACGCTGCTGGGGCCTGTCCTGTGCATTAGAGCAATGTCCCCTATCATGACAACCAGAAATGTGCACAGGTATTGCCAAATGTCCCCTGGGGGGCAGGTGCAGAGTCCCCCGAGGTTGAGGATCCTGCTTTAAGAGGAAGATGAGTCCTTTAATGTCTTGTTCCATTTTTGAGACAGGCTTGCATGTCATGGGAGCGTTGCATGGGGAAGCCAGAAATGCTGCTACAGGAGGGACCAGGAGGGACCCTGGGTGGTCATGGGGTCACTTTTCCCAGAAGGGAAGGCTCCACCGAACAGAAGAGCTGGAGGAACCCCATGGGCACAGGGGAATGAAGGGACACCCATCCTTTCTCCTGCACAGGGAGAGGAAAAGGGCGAGGTCTGCCTCACTGAGATCTGCCCAGGCAGTGAGATACACTTCCTCTAATCCTTGCTCACTCATTGGTCTGCAGCAACATTGTCCAATAGAAGTTTCTGGAAATGGCTCATCTGCTTGCTAGAGAACCACCGGCTCCCTGTGGTTACTGAACACTCAAAATGCAGCCAGTGTGACCAAGGACCTGCATTCTTAATTGTATTTCATGTTAATTAATTTCAATTTGCGTAGCCATGGGTGAGTAGGGACACTGTATCAGACCGTTCATCTAGTGAGGCCTCCTTGCACTGGGGATGAAGCCAAGAGGAATTTCCAGTGCCTGCTTCCCTCCCTCCCCCTCTCGCCTCTCCTCCATCCTTCCTTCCCTCCTCCTCTCCCCCAGTCTGTATTTCCTGAGCACCTGTCATGTGCCTCGTGCTTGTACCGTGTGCTCTGGCCACTCCCGATGCTCTGGGGAGCACAGCACCCCGGGCCTGCTTGGCGGTGCCTCAGGGGGACAGGTGACAGGTGGGGTGGGTGAGGGGAAGACAGTAATGAACACCAGGAGGGCAGCAGTGCGACACGGGGAGCGGGAAGGTCACAGTGGCCCTCAAGTAGGTGGGCACGGAGCCAGGAGCTGAAGGGGAAGAAGCCACACTGCCTTCCTCCCTCCTGGGGAAGGTGCGCTGGGTGGGGAGGGAGCCAGGAGGGAGAGGTCAGTGCAGACTCGGGGGCCATGGCGAGTTCAGATTGTGCTTGCTGGTGCTGGGGTTTGTGGTAGGCAGTAATGTGTGTGTGTCTCAGTTTGTTTCGTTTCTATTTAAATACTGTGTTGGAGGATGTAGTGGATGGGAGAATATCCCCCCAAATCACGTCCTTTGCAGATTTAGTTTGTTAGGGGTCTTGAGATGAATATGCTGGGACCAGGGTGGTCCCTAAGTCCTGTGACTGCTGTCCCAGTCAGGAGAGAGGAGGACACAGATAAAAAAAAAAGCCACCAGCAGAGGGTGGTGGGCAGCTCCACACCCAGGACCCAAGTTGCCAATGCACCAGGAGCTGGGAAAGGTGCAATTAGGCCCCCCTTAGTATTACAAAATTTGACTTTAGACTTTGGACCTCGTGGATTATGAACAAATCTTAGTTTGGCTTGGCTTGGCTTGTTTGGTCTGGTCTGGTCTGGTCTGGTTTGGTTTATAGGAATTGAACTTAGGGCCTTCACACTGAGCTACATCCCCAGCCATTTTTAATTTATATTTTATGATAGGTGCTGGGCTCGAACTTTTGATCCTCCTGCCTCAGCCCCCCAGCGTGTCAGGATGTGCCACCATGCCCAGCTAGTTCCCGCTGTTTCAAGCCACCCGGTTTGTGGTCTTTGTCACTGCAGCCCCAGGACAGGGACACAGAGGAGAAGGAGTCCCCCCAAGATGCTGTTTCCCTGTCCAGCAGTTGGAGTAGAGAGGTCCAACAGGTCCACTGGGAGTAAAACTTGCAGCGGGGGTGATGTGGGTCATTGCTTGCTCAGCTATGGGGCCTTTGTGGGGTGAGGAAATCTGGGGGAGGATGACGTCAGAGACAGAAGGTGCCAAGGAGCAGCTGGCCAGCTGTCTCGTTGAGTTGTACCAGCCCCTGCCCAATGGCATGCTGACCTCTTCACGCTGAGATGGCCCGGCAGGGTGGGCAGGGCCTGCCATGGGCACCAAAACAGGGGGACAGAGCCAGGAAGTGAGCCCTGAGGGCCATGGGTGACATTTCCCCTCAGACCCTTGCTGGATGGGGCTCAGCATGCACTTGTGCCATGAGGAAGTCCAGCCTGGTGGTTACTGTTGCTGCTGCCACTAAGCTTCATATTGCTGGGGCTGGGGATCTAGCTCAGCGGCAAAGCGCCTGCCTGGCAAGCGCAAGGTCGTGAGTTCAGTTCCCGGTACTGGAGAAAAACCAAAAAAAAAAAAAGCTTCACATTGCTTATTTCTCAGGTAGTCTACAGCACCACCAGGAAAGACAGAGATGGGCTGTGTGTGCCCACATCATCCTGCCTCTTAAGCTCTCCTGGCCCATTTCTCCCAGAAAGTCTGTCAGCCATGGTCCCAGAAACAAGGTGCCTTGGGGACCTTGGGCTCCAAGCTGTCTGGGGCAGCCGGAAGGTGTGAGCTCCAGGCCTACAGCACATACTCCTGCAGGACCTCCAGCAGGTTCCTGGGCAGGTCCTGCCTTGGTCTCCTTGCCTGTAAAACAGGGATAAGGACAAAACCTCCTGAGGATTGATGTCTCAATGTGAGTGGTGTCTAAGACTCCTGTGGGATATGCATAGCCCAGAAACATAGTCATCCTGGTAGTGCTTTGGAGCCTTAACCGCAGTGATGCTCTCAGAAGGTAGAGACTTGAGAGTGAGTACGGTTAAATGACTTCACAATGGTGGGGTCCTGTGATGAGATTAGTGCCCTTGTAAGATGAGACGAAGAGTAGAATATCCAGAACAAACATTGTTTCTAGGCACTGACATGGCCCTCAGATGTTCTTGTTTAAGCTTCTGGTCTCTTGGTGGCTCTTCTAAAACTCTCCACTCATTGTCCCCAGCCTGTTAAATGAGCTGGTGATGAGTACAGTCCTTGTGCCCAAGTCACACCATTCCAGAAACAGATTTCAAGGCCGATCCTCTGTCAGACAGCTTGTCCTTGAACTGACACTTTCCCGCACATCCTCACCCCTCCTCAATCCTCACCTGTCCTCACAGACACCTTGCAGGAACGTGTCCCAGTGTAGCAGCTCTACAGATGATGGCAGGTCCTTTCACTGGGGCAGCGGGACCAGCCTGAAAGAATGGAAGGAGGAAGGGTCTGTTGACCTTGAGCCAACGACCTTCTCTGTGAGCCTCTCACCTCCTTATGTGGTAGTATGGCTCCCTGTGGCCAACTGAATAATGATCCTTGAGGTGTCCACATCCTGGTCCCTGGAACCCATGAATGTTCTGTTACCTTCCACAGCAGAAGGGACCTTGCAGTTTGATGCCAGTCAGGATCTTGAGATAGAGATGCTCCCCGTAAGCCAGCACAGGCATCCTTAGAAGAGGCGGGGCAGATCTGACACCAGAAAGGAAGGGGAAGAAATTAGGATGACACAACAACAAACCAAGTGACACCTGGAGCTACAGAGCTGGGACTCTGCCCTAGAATTTCCAGAAGAACCCACCCTTTCCATACCTGGATGTAGCCCTTTGGGGTGGTGACAACTGCGGTGAGCTAGAGCAGTGCTGGGGGCCATGTGCAGAGTGGGGCCTCAAACAGAGTCAGGGCTGGGGAGGCAGGACACGCAGGGAGCAGAGCCTTCCTTGACTGCCATGGTGCGCCCTGGCTGGCCTGGTTCTGTCCCCCCAAGTTGGCCACCCTGGATGCACTCTCGGAAATGATGCATTTCACACAGAGCCCTGGACAGCAGGCCTCGGGCGCATTTCCAGGTCCCACCAGGCCAGGTTTGTTTTTGTTACACACGGTGAGACCATGTGGCATAGTGGGCTGAGGGGAAAGGACAGTTGGCATCCAGATGTGGGCTCGTTTAAGCCCGAAGTGTGCACACCACTCTCGAGTCGGTGTTAATTAAACTGGATTACTGTGCTCATAAGCCGCAGCGGCTTGTAATTCTGCTGTAAGCAGCCAATCTTGAGTTTTATGACTTAATTACTGAGCCCAGCCATGCAGTCACCTGCGGGCCAGGCTAGGCCTTAGGGAGAAGCCAGGAGGGGACCTCGCCATTCACTGGAGTCTCAAAAGAACCCCAGCCTCCTGCCTGGAGCTGAGCTAGCTGTAAATGCTACTTAATTCCCAGGGCCTTGGTCCTGATTCAAAGACTTCCCCACAAGGTGGGTTCATTTTTACCTCTGAAATCACCCCTCACACGTTGTCTGGGATGATTCCAGAAGATTGCTCAGAGCACAGAGCTGGGTACTGGGGACCTGGTTCTGGGGCCTGCAGGAAACAGTGTCCACCCTCCGCCCTTGTGTTCTGGTCCTGTCCTCTCTGCACAGATGCTCAGCCTCCTGGATCCCCCCTTCCTCCCAGGCACCAAGTGGTCACCCATTTGGGGCATCCAAGTACTCTAATCATATCCTCTGCTTAGCTCAGCCCCCACCCAGAAATGCCATCTAGACCCCTCCCAGCTGGGGAGCAGCTGGTTCTTGCACCTCTGACAGCCCAGGCCCAATGTGGGCTTACCAGAGGCTGGGTGTTCTGCTCAGTAAACACTTATCAGAAGAGAGAGCAATTGATCAAGGGGCTGTTAGGCAGAATCACATTGAACTGGCAATATTTAAGCATCTGTGACCTACAAAGCAGCAATTCTATGTGCCTCTGCCACATGAGAAGTCACAGGCTTGGTCCAGGGAAGAAGGGGTAACAAGGAAGAGGGCAAGGGGGAGAGGAGCCCAGCCACAGGACTGTCCCCTCCCAGGACACTATTCACTACTTTCATTTACAACTGTGCCCTGTGCTCCACCATCATCTGAGGCCCGGGCAGCGTGTGGGGCACCAGGGAACACAGCTGCCCTCCTTGCCTCACAATCCAGAGATGAAGAGCCAGACAGGAGGATGCCTCCCCTGCCACCTGCAAAGCCCCTATGGGTCAAGATGGCTTAGATCTATGGGTGAGTGGGCGTCCTTCTAGGACCAAACTCCAGAACGGAACCAACTGGCCAGACAGCTCTTACCCAGGGTCACAGGGCACTCACAGTGGCATCAACTCCTCCAAATCCGTGGGACAGAACGCCCATCCCAACAGGCTGTGCAGCAGGGACCTTGTAACAGACAGGCACTAAGGACAAGAGAAGCCCAGGGTGCATCGCAAGCATCTTCCAGTGTTCAGAAAGGTGCCTAGGGTCTCAACTGCACCTGCATTGAGTTTTGCACCACAGCTTGGGGACCCTGAAGGGCAGCTAGCTGTGGGTTTTACCCCTCAGTGCTCCAAGGCTCACCGGGCTGAAACATGGACAGAGATCTTTTTAGGGAGGCCTAGAGCAGAGACCAGGCTGCTCCAGCCAGACCCTCCTTAAAGCACACGGTCATATACCCGCCAAGTCTAGGTCCTTCTTGAGAAATACAGGCAGAAAAAGGGCAGAGCCGGGTTGATCCAGGGCCATGTGAGCGCTTTCCCTGGAGCCTCGCCCTGGCAGGAGGAGTAGGCAGGCAACAGTAGGCAGAGATGCCAGGGTGCTCACTGTCTCCCTCCAGCTCCCACCCAGGGTGAGCCACTCCTCCCCCACCAGCCAAGGACGCTGAGTCCACAGAAGTCTCTGCCACCTGAATACCTCTCCACAGCTTACTGCAGATGCCTGTCTGCTCACAGGTTCTGTGCATGGGCCAGATCAAAGCAGGTTGCTTTTCTTTCCTTCCTTCTACCTTGCCAACCTCTGGGACCCAGCTAAGAGCAGAGGAGCTGCCCCGTCTCTGCCCTCTCCACAGCTTCTCATATAGTGACAGAGCACTCACTCCATTTGTCAAAGTTGCAGGGTAGGGGCAGCAACACTGAATTGTAAAGAAATCAGGTGTTCACTCACCCCCAGATCAGGGAGCTGTGCCAATTCTTGGGGACTTGAGATGAGTTTCATCACCTGTACTCTTACATCAATGGACCAAAGGACAATGCCTGGGATGGAGGGAGGACCTGGGATGCTGCTATAACAAAAGATTCCCACCTGCATCAGCTAAAGCAACCAACACTTGGTCATCCGTTTGGATGTTAGAAATCTAGGTTCAAGGTAGCAGCAAAGCTATGCTCCCTCCAGAGGCCTAGGGGAGGATCTGTCTGTGTTCATTTACCAGCTTTCTGTCCCTATAATGAAACTTTGGAGGCAGTTACCTCATAAAGAGGAAAGGTTTATTTTGGCTCATGGTTCTGGGGGCTCCCGCCCATGACTGTCTGGCCCCATAGCTTTGGGGCTGTGGCCAGGCAGCACGTCATGGTGGGATTGTGTTCACTTCATGATCCAGGAAGCACAAGAGGAAGAGACTGGGGCTTCCACAGTCCCCTTCAAGGGCATACTCCTCATGACCTGAGGGCCCTCCACAAGGCCCAACTCTCAAAGGTTCTGTTGCCTCCCAATATGCCATGCTAGGATCAAGCCTTGAGCACCTGGGCTTTTGGCGGGCACTTACCCTAACCATAATGCCTCTCAAGTCCGCAGCTCCTGGCTGCTGGAGATCCTTGGCTTCAGCTGTGTCACTCAGCCTCAGCCTGTCCTCCCTCCATGTATCTGCGTCCAGGTTCCCCTCTTCTCATAAGGGTACTGGTTGTGTTAGAAGGAGGACCCACCCTAACCTGGCTGACTTGTCTTCACGTTCACCTTGGCTCCATCTACACTGACCTTGCTTCCAAACAAATGAGGTCCCATTCTGAGCTGCCGGGGTGAGGACTTCCTTGCCCTATTTTGAGGAACACAGCTCAGCCCCTCACACTACATAACCCAGGCCTTTTAGAGTTTGGGGTTCCTATACTTTGCTTTTTAAAAAAGCAAAACAGAGAAACAAACGAGATCCAAACTTGCAATCTCTTTAGGAAGAGCTGGACTTTCAGGTGCGCTCACCCTGGATGAACTGGTGACACACGTGGTTCATGCCCTGAGGCGCTCACCGAGGCAGGAACACACGGAAATTTCCCAGTGGCCCTGTTCATAGTAGCAAGAAACTGGAAACAGTGCAAATGTCTATTAACAAGGAAGTTTCGGGATGCTGATATCTGTTCATACCTGGAGTACTATTTAGCAGAGAAACGTGAATGGATGGCATCCTGTGATACTGACAAGTGTATGTTTAGTCCGCATTTCCTAAAGCTCCTACAATCCCTGGACTGGCAGAAATGTCAGTACCTTACGTGTGAGTGGTAGCTGGAGACACAGATGGCTTTGGGATGGGGGTGGTTATAGGAAAGACCAAGGAACGATTAGAAGGTTGGGACTCTCAGACCCATCCCCCAACTTCCAGGGAGGTAGAGAGACCAAGGGTTAAACTGGTCACAATGGCCAGTGACATAAGCAGCCCTGCCTCTGTCATGAGGCCTCCGTAGGAACCAGAATAGCAGGGCTTGGGGTGCTTCCAGACCCCTGAATTGAGGAGGTGCCTCCGGGATGGTGGGCTTGGACAGGGCATGGAGGCTCTGCACCCCTTCCTTGCACTAGGCAACGCTTGCCTTCGTCCATCTGCAGTATTTGTAACATCCTCTGTCACAGATCAGTAAACCTGGGGGTGACAGTTCTGTGAGTGGCTCTAGCAAACCCACTGAACCTGCATAGGGATAGTGGCTTATAGGTAGAGCTCCGGTTTATAGCCAGTGGGTCAGAAGCACAGGTGACAACCTGGGGGGGCAGTCTTGAAGACTGAGCCCTCACCCTATGGCTCTGACCCAGTGCCCAAGCAGAGGGTGTCACAGTTGAGTTAGGGGACCACAAGCTGGTGTCCACTGCAGAATTGCTGGCTTGCTGGTCACAGAAGTCTCAGAGTCACTGTGGAGGGATGCTACGGGAAGAACAGTTTGTCAACCATTGTCCTGTACCTTCAGAAGGCTGAGGCAGGCATATGAATAGGCAATAATGAAGATGCATATGAATAGGCAATAATGCTATGGAGGAAAACAAAACACAGCCTAATGACTTCCGGGGAGACGCTGAAGGCCTTCGAAATGTCACCAGTGCTGTTTGTTCAGTGGGATTCACATGATCATTCACATACCTCACACATCTTCCCACCCTCCCAGGGTAAAGTTCGACTGGAAAGCCTGCTCCTGTCTCAATACACTCATAATTTTATGAAGAAGGGAAGGGTCTTGGAGAGCACAGTACTCTGTGTTCGTGTGCGTGTGCGTTAGGCAGCTTCATGGCACTATAACAAAATCCCTAAGGCAGCTAATTTTATAAAGAGAAAGTGTTCCTTAGCACACAGTTCTAGAGTCCGGAGTTGCAGATCTGATGGGGGAAGGGGGTTCCTCGGCCTCTGCTAGGGTGGTGGATGAAACCATGTTATGCCAAGAGCCTGGGTAGGAACAAGCAGTCACATCTGGAACCAGTCAAGAGAGAGAGGGCAGCCAAACTCAGGGGACCTCTCCCACGCTGCCTTCCAGGGTTGCTGCCCCCAGACCCCACATCTCAAAGGTTCTGGGCACTTCCTGATGGCACAGCCCTGGGGACCGAGACTTTGATTAGCAAACCACACAGGACCCAAGGACCTGGCCCCTGGGCCTCAGCCTGCAGCCGGGCCTGCAGCAGGTGCCTGATCCTCCTGTGTCCAGCTTGGATTTCACATCAGTCAGAGATGCGGCTCCTGGGCGCCTTCGCCCTCTGTGTTCTTGTCTTCCCAGCCCTGACTGTGCTCTGCCTGGAGCCCAGCACCCCGTCCAGCCCTCTGTGGCGCCTGCGTCACACCCGGCCTTCTCCCTGCGCTTTGAGCAGGACGCTCCCCCTCAATGGCATGTGCGGTGTCCACGTCCTCTCCCGTGGGCTGCCTCGTTAGCAGCAGGCAGGTGGATTTGGAAGGAGGCGTTTGGTTCCCTTTTAGCAGCAGCCCAGTTTCACGCTCCTGAGTGTTGCCAGGAGAACTGAAAATTGCCTGCCTTCTCCATTTGCAGTAGAAACGCAGTTTCCTGAGCTTCCCCTGTTCATTCCCGGAAGGCTCACTGTGGGTGCTTGGCTACCTAGAAATTCTCCCTCTGTAGCCTAAAGAATGAAGGAGTTTCAGATGATACCTCCCACAGGATGCCTTCCTGGATTGCCTTGGTCATTGGGTCTCCCCTCCTTTTGCACATTTTTAACCTTTCCCAAATTATGATTTGATTGAGGGTAGAAATAAAGCATAGAAAGATGAACAAAAGCAGCCTGTCCTTTAGATCAGAAGCCCTCTGTCCCTGTAGTCTGTCCTGAGATACAGTCTAGAGGTGAGAGAGTCCCAGAAGGATAGAACACAAGTTATGAGTTGTTTCCAGGACTGCAGTGACCAATGCAGGGAAGACCCAGAACGGACAAGTGGGGAGCATCAGGGGCTCCAGTAGAGCAGAGCTGGGGTGACAGTGCCATCCTGGCAGCTCCCCCAGCCCTGCCTCAGTGTCCCCACCCCTCGGGAGCAGGCCCAGCACCGCCAGGCATCTAGGAACCCATTCTAGCAGCACTGATATGCTGTTGTCAGGGCTGCTTCCAAGGAGCCTTCTCTGCACTGTCCCAGCTCCAGTCCTGGAAGGCGACATCCGTGTCTATGGGAACCACCAAGCGTCTTCCTAAGGAAGCCACACTCCCAAAGCTCCTGCCCCTGTGGGAAGGCAAGTCTTAGGGTTAGAAATATCAGAACCCCAAATTTGCCTTATAATCACCATGGCTGTCAGCTGAATCCTTCTGGATATTCAAAGCAGCAGAACCCCCAGTCTTTGGAAGAGACCACAGTGTGGTGTTGGGGACCTGACTGCAGTACATGGGGGAGCAGCATTCGTCTGTAAAGGCCCATTTGTTTGTCATCATCTGAGAGTTTGAAGTTGAGAAAGGTTTCCATGAGTCCTGGCGTGAGTCCCTGGGTCCCACGGACCTGAGGAAGAGCTATGCAGGAAGCCAGGGGTAGGAGCCCCTGCTCCTGTGTGCACCGTGGCAGAGTGTTTTGTGGGCACTCCTGGAATTCTCCAGACCTGCTCCACCCACTGACTGATCAGCCACTCTAGCAGGCAGATGCATTTGTCTTTAATTAATATAAGATGGAGAAATAACTATTACTTTGCAAATGCAGCCTGCTTAGAAAGCCATAGTCCTTGGAATCAGGAACTGTGGAAAACAAAGAGCCCCTTAGAGCCAGAGCCACCCGCAGCTTCTGTGTTTGCGTCTGAGCAGCTATGAGCCTCCGGCTCTGGAAAGGCCTTGCCCAAGGTCACAGGCATGACTTGGGCCCCTTGAGAGAGCCCCAGTCACAGGCCAGAGGGGCCATAAAGCCAGACTCTAATAAACCAGACAAACTAGTGCTCAAGAGCCAGGCAGCAGGCAGGGCTGGAAGCTGCATGTGCAGCAGCCTCTATGAAGAGGTGAGCTTGGCCATCGTCCAGTCCTCGGATGGAGCCACGTGCACAGACTCTCAGGGGCACAAGGTTCCTTCCAGCCCCACTGGTCCTGTAACTTGTTTTTCTTATCACTATTTTTATAGCACTGAGGATCGAACCGAGGGCCTTGGCACTGATTTATGTCCCCAGCCCTTTTTCAATTTGGACCAGGGTCTCGCTGCGTCACTAAGTTGCCTGGGCTAGGCTCGAACTCACCATCCTCCTGCCTGATCTTCCCAGAGTGCTGGGATGACAGATGTGTGCCGCCATGCCCAGGTTTTTTTTTTTAATTGTGGTAAAGTATAGATACATAAGTTTTACCATTTTAAACCACTTAAAAGGGAACAATTCACCATTTTAGTGAACACACAAGGTTGTGTAGCCATGGACTCTGCCCAGATCCAGAACATGCTCTGCCCCATTAGCAGTGACCCCATTGCCCCTACCAGCCCTAGATTACCAGGTCTTTGCTCTGTCTCTCTGGACTTACCCATTCTGGATGTTTCCATACCCGGAATCACTCAGGAGGGGGCCTTCCATGCCTGGCTTCGTATGCTGGGCATCATGTGTTTGCAGCTCATCTATCATATAGTATATGTTTGTGCTTCATTCCTTTTTATGGCTGAGTAACATTCCCCCTTCTGTGGACCACATTCTATATGTGCTATGGTTTGGGTAACTGTGCCCCAAATATCTCAGTGTTAAGAGCTTGATCCCCAGGCCCAAGGCACTAATGGGGAGGTGCTGTA